AATTTATTTCTGAAATATTAATTCAATTTAATTGAATGTATATTAGATAGTAGTTCAACATCTTAACACTCGGACCGGGAAGGCGCTTTGTATTTAAAGTTGTAATATTTATATAGACGGTCTTGTTTCCAATCATATTTTAAAAGAAGTTATTTTGTAAAAAAATGGAAATTTCGCGTGAAAATTTTCGGGCAATGATTTTTTACGATTACGATTAATGTGGTACAAATGTAATCTAACTCCGAAACAATGCATCGATCGACTCCATTTGGCTTTTGAGGATGAAGCACCATCCAATAGGACTGTTTATAATTGCCGAATTCCAGCGTGGACGTACCTTTCTTAGCGATGAATTCCGTGAAGGTCGTCCATCCATGTCTGTTGTTGCCATTAATGTTGATGCTGTGCGTGAAATGATTGAGACCGGCATATAACATACCGCGAGATTCAGGCATCCTTAGACATTGACATTGAAAGCAATACATACGATTTTGCATGATCACTTGAGCATACGGAAACTTTGCAGTCGTTGGATCCCACACAATTTGACCGAAGCTCAAAGAAAGGCTCGTGTTAAATGGAGCAAAGAAATGCTCGAAAAATTCAACCGAAGTCGGTCAAATTTGGTCTACAACATCGTTACTGGGGACGAAACATTGATCTATTCCATATGAGCCCAAAAGTAAATAACAATCCACTGTTTGAGTATTTCAAAATGAACCGAAATCAACAAAAGTTGTTCGTTCACGCAGTGCTGTCAAATGATTGCTTGTTTCTTCGAAAATACCGGACATGTGACAGCCGTGGCTTTAGAGGATCGAAGGACTGTAAATACTGATTGGTATACAACAATTTGTTTGCCAGAAGTCATAAATGAATTGCGTAGAACAAACCGAAATCGTCTCATCCTTCATCATGACAACGCCAGCTGTTACACAGCACGTCAAATCGTTGATTTTTTATCCAGTAATAATGTCGAATTGATGACTCATTGTCCGTATTCACCTGATCTATCATCTAATAACTTTTTTTTGTTCCCAAACATTAAAAATAAGATGCATGGTGAGCGATTTGAGTCAGGTTTTGCCTGAAGCAGTTGTTGAAACATTTCGTACACTGATTTATGAAGTTACAGCCTTAGAGTGGAAAAAATGCTTCGAAAATTGATTCGAGCGTATGCAAAAATGTATCGATCTTAAAAGCGAATACTTCGAAAAATAATAAAGCCATTTACCGAATTTTACATGTTTTTTTTCATATTGTTTGCAGAAACTTTTCCAGCAACCTACGTAATTAGAATCCGACCGAAACTTTTACCAAAACTAAAAACAAGCACTCATTACGTATCAGATTCGATTGAAACCCAAGTAGAACAAAAATGTTAAAAACCTATTGAAAAAACATCAGTAATGATTATAAGTAAATGTTTTAAATGTTAACGTTATAAGTGTACGTGTAGGAAACGTTAGAAATAACGATCAAAACATTTATGAAACCAATATATAAACCGTTATTTTTTATTGTAACAGAATCATTTTAAAACGTTTACCAACAAATTTATCTACGTTTTTACAACATCTATATAACCTCCAGTTTTATAATAGGTCCTGAATATCTGTTCATTGAAAAAAATGCATGTAATTTTACATGGAAGTTACATGTATTGTATATGACCGAAAAATTACCTAAATATGACTGGAAATTTTCAAAACAGCTAGGGACGATTAGAAAAGCTCTTAGTACCTATGTGAACCTGGCATCCGACTTAAAGATAATATTTTTTAATAGACATTAAATTAAACTCAGTTTGTACCCGTTTGCACTATCTTTCTTTTCATTTATACCTCAAGAGTTTCAAAAATATAAAGGGTTAAAAAAATGCCAGCACCATACTTTAAGATATTTGAAATCTCTGGGTGCTGTTCCGAGATCATTTGTATTCGTTTTTACTACCATCGGTTTCGTTTGTACCCTCAAGGAGGTGATTGTATTTTTTAAGATAATTTAAATCTGTAAACGAATGTTTTGAGATTGTTACATTCGTTGGCTAAAACTGACACACAATCAAAATTTCGATTTTTGATTTTGACCGAAATTGAATTATTGTTTCAATAAATTATGATATTTATGAAGAAAGGATATATGGACATGTCTATATGTATGGCTTTTATAGGATTCCTATTTTTTAATTATGGTTTCGGTTTCGGTTGAAATTGAAATGTAGTCGAGTATTTCAGTTTAGTTTCAGCAAAAATTTCGTTCGGAATCTACTTATAATTATAATTGTTTTAAAAGTATTTTTTAATGGCCGTCGCAACCTGCGTTTGCATTTTCATTGGCTTGTCCTTGCTATATTATTTATTTTTAAAAGTCTATTATTTGTATATTGCTACTTATTACACTCAGAAGTCGATCGGTTTAACCTTTATTAAAAAACCGATAATCCCAGATCGACTCGCTCGCAACTCGCTATCTCGCGTGAATAAAGACACGGTACGGTCTTGCACTGCGTATTCACTTGATGCGAGACATTTCCATGTCTATTGATCAGTAACATTAAAAAAAAAATAATTACGTTTCTTCACATTTATTAAAAAAGAATACGTATTGTCATTACAATGTTATAAAATAAAGATGTTTACATTTTGAGTGTATTTTTTTTATAATTCTATATGAATAATTCTATGTCAAAAATGTGGTGAAGAGAATATGTAATCTATTACTTTTTATGTTTAAACGCATTTATATTGTTTCGACACTTAAATTATAAAATTATGTTTTATAAATTTTTATGTGCTTAACAGGTTCCGCTTTACGATGTTGGGTGTGTTCGTCCAATGTAAATGTCATGTGTAACGACCCGATGAATACTACAGATCATCAAGCTGCGTTTCATATAAGAACTTGTGACCCAGGTCCCTACGGCTCTTCAAAACCCATTTGTCGCAAAATCGTCAAACGAGGTAAAATTGCCTACTTATTTGTATGGAATAACACTGTATAAATTCTCTTTTATAAAAATATTCCAATATATTTATATATCCATATGGCATAGATTGTTATGAATTATAAAAAGGATTTATCTTCCTACATTATTTATAAATTCCTGTATTTTGTTTAAAAAAGAATCATTTATTTGCGAGTAACTGTGCAGCACTGTCGATAGATGGAGACAGCAAAGTTTAATTTCTCATAAGTAAGAACTATACATATAAGATATAATTGAATGAGAAGTTCAGCATTATGATATCTTTCACTTGTATTCTGATGAAATAATTTTTTAAAAATAAAAGGGGGCTTCCATAATGAAACTTGAAAGATCATATTCTGATGTAGGGAAGACTAGAGACAGTTGTAACGGAGATTAGTTGTAATAATGCGTATATCTTTTAAATGATAAGAGATAAAATGATCGTATAAAGAACAAAAATAGCCGATATCGAGGCCTGTGTTGTCTGATGATATTAATCGCGCATGCGCCGCATATAAAACAAGTTATGTGCAGGGTACTCAGATAAGCCATGTAAGTGTAACGATGTTATACCTTTTCGCTTTAATTTTAAAATAAAATGCTTTTTATAATGTTTTCGTTTTATTAATTTAAAAATACATTTTCTCAAGCTATGTGCATATCTTTTTTAAATATTTTTTAGTGGTTTTCAAATATATTTACATAAATTTTAACAACATCGGTTTGGAGTTAAAAGTACCGAGTCGCCAGAGTACATTGTAATATCATTATAATTAACAGTAAATGTTAAGAAGAGCCCGCTCGTCTCAAATTTTGATAAAAATGCACTGAATCGATGTGTTTTTGCATAAAAATAAAGATTTGATAAGAAAAGTGTCGCTCTACTTCGTGAACTGAAATATTTTAAATTGACGATCATTCAGAACGTGGCTGTCACAGCTACGAAATACTGCAATGCAAATACGCGCTGAGGTTACATTTTTATGCTTTATGGCCGCAAATGCGTTGTAAGTACTTACTGTAATAGATATTATTTACTGCTTTACATACGAGGGCAAGTCAATAAGTTTTTAAAAAAACATAGTAAAACACATTTTTTTTGATCGATTTATTTTTACTTCTCAACATAGTCTCCTTTCAGCTTGATACACTTGATCCAATGATTCTCCAATTTTTTCAAGTCGTCCGAATAATATGATTTGTCCAACTCTTCAAAATAAGTATAGCCTCTGTTTTGGCGATGAGCTGCTTTCTGGTGGTGAATCTTTTTCCTCCAAACCATTTCTTTAGATTTGAAAACAGGAAATAGTCGTAGAGGGTTAAATCTGGCGAATATGCTGGATGGCGAAGCAATTTGTAGCGGAATTCCTTGAATTTGGCCATCGGTGCCGGGCACGTGTAAACCCGTGCATTGTCTTGATGGAAGAGCTTGATGGAGACTTTCTACTTCGCCAAATGGAGACGTTTTTTCTTTAACATGTTGTTGAAACGGTTCAATAAGGCTGCGTAGTAATTGCCATTGATCGTTTGCTTGGAAGGAAATCGATATGAATTATACCGCGTGCATCCCAAAAAACTGTGGCCATCACCTTTCCGGCCGACTTCACGGCCTTCGCCTTCTTCGGAGCTGGTTCACTCGGTGAAGTCCATTGTTTTGACTGTTCCCTCGTCTCGGGTGTGAAGTAATGGATCCATGTTTCGTCCACAGTAATGAATCGACGCAGAAATTCATCTGGATTACGTTGAAACATCTTCAAACATTGTTTTGAAATCGTCACACGGTCGCGCTTATGGTCTACAGTGAGCAAACGCGGCACCCATCTTGTCGATAGCTTTTTCATACTCAGTTGTTCCTGCAAAATTGAAATCACTGTGCCATGTGATATGCCTGTGGCTTCAACAAGCTCGCGCACTTTCATTCGTCCATCAATCAAAACAATATCGTGGACTTTATCGATAATTTCTGGCGTAGCAGCCTCAATTGGACGTCCCGAACGAGGTGCATCACATGTGGATGTACGATCACGTTTAAATTCATTCACCCAATTATATACAGTCGCAAACGCTGGTGCAGATGTGCTATGAACATTATCCAACTTGGCTTTGATTTCTTTCGGTTAAATCTTTCATATGTAGATTTAATCACTGCACGGAATTCGTTTTTTTTCCATTTTGCAAAAAATACAAAGATTATTCGCTTTAATCGTCTACAGAAATAAAACCACGCGATGAATTTAGCTCAAAATTTGACAGTAATCAGCTGAAAGATGCTATTGTACTTGTCAAAAAGTAATATGACATGTCACTGCGAGTGTCCTCTAACAGATCTTTTAAGAACTTATTGACTTGCCTTCGTATATTCATTGCTTTTTAATAGTAAATTGACTGATATAAAAACAAATATAATTTAAGAAAATGATTTCTGTTTTAGAACAGATAATTTATTTTTAAAGCACAGAATTTGTGTTTTTAAGGCAGTGAATTTATGTTTTAAAACAGATAATTTGTTTTTAAAGCAATAAATTTCTGTTTTAAAACAGATAATTTGTTTTTATAACATGTTACAATTTTTCCCAGCTCTGTTTCATTTTGCCTCAAATCGAAGCAAGATGCACTAATTCGGATTTTGATATTTTACTTATAAACTGTCTAAAATTACATCTTTTTGCAAATAGAACCATTCTAAATAGTTGTTTTGTCAAATGCGTTAAAAAAAATAAACATATATGTAATAAATAAAGAAATATATATACCTATATTTCTAAAAAGTTACAACTGTCCCCAGTCTCCTCTACACTGTCAGTATAGAAAATCTATAATATATATAATATGAACTGTATTTTCTAAATGAGATGTATTTTGACAGTACAATTTCGTTTATTTCTACGTAAAAATTAATTTAAGATACTAATCTTCAACTGAAAGTTATGTGTTTGTTGTTTGTGTTGGATAATCTATCTAAAAGCTATTATATTTCAATTTCATTAGAAATTTCTGATAGTTGATTATGAAAAGATTTTTTGTTTCTGAAAAAAGCTCAGAATTGATAACATAAAAGTAAGACCTTTTGGAATTCTTGAATGTTTTTGAATAAAAAATGGCACAGAAAAAGAATAGTTTTCATAATTCGAGGATTTAAAAAGTTATTTTTTGGATTGTCTATATATATATGCTGTCTAAACATGGCAATTTCATTAACTTTCTAATTATATAACATAACATGTGTTAAATTTAATGAAACGTGGATATCGATAATGTTTAAACACTTTAAAGTATGTTTTCTTTGCATTTTAACATGCGCCTGCCTTATACGTTCTTCAATCGTTTACGTGTATTATAGAGTAGAATAAATCTATTGCGTGATCGTTATGGCAAAAAATTCTGCTCTTCAAGCACGAGATATACCAACATGTTCGTTTGTTAGAAGGATGACGCATTGTGAAGTAGTATCTTTTTAATGCGTTGTATCCTTTTCCTTCGAGACGACTGTGACGACGTACACGGTAATACGCGTCGCGATTGAGTCATGCCGGCGCGCATAGAAATAACGATGATAATTGAACATTAAAACAAGGCCGGTGCCACACCTACGAGAAAAACGAAAAAAATTGTTATTATGCTACCACGAGATTATAATTAATTTCGGTACCAGGATAATATACGTTTCTCTCTCTCTCTCTCTCTCTCTCTCTCTCTCTCTTTCTTCCTCGTTATCATCGCGTTGTTGAATCTGTCATTGCATGTTCACAGTAAATCGAATGTACTAACCGCACGTTGAATTCCGTCAATTCGACGGAATTCTAGCATGACGAGGCAGCGTGCGTGAAATAGCGAGCACGGCCGCCACATAAATGCAAAGTTACGTAAGCGACAATAATAATGTTATTAAATCGACATTGGATTTGCGCTTGTCAATGCACAAGAAAGGATGACCCCAATTGTACGCTATTGAAGGATTTTCTGAGAAATTACCGTCAATTCTCATTGTTTCCTATATAGAACGAAATATATAAAAAGAATATGTCACAAGGGCATATTTTGTCAATCGCAAATCACGATTACGATTTCTTAATTATAAATCTGAATTTCAGATAATCTAAACTCGCAGAGTTTACAATAGTATTCTGTTTGTTACTTTAGATGTTATTACTTTGATAAGTATGTACAGTGAGAGCAAAAAGTATTTGTACAAAGAAATTTGATGTTAAATATCCAACAAGAAATGATCGTCAATTAAAACGTCGAATCGACGTCAAATTGATATTGAAATCATCGTATTTATCGATTCGACATCAATTTAATAATTCTCGCAGAATAATATTTACTTTTAAAAAATAAAAATTTTATAAAAAGCCTTATTTGTAGAAAATAAACATTAATTAGCAATTTTATACAATGAATACATTCTCTTCTTACATAAACAAACGAGCTTCGCATATTCCTGATTTTAGAAATTAAATTTATCATCTGTACAAATACTTTTTGAGCATTCAAACAATACAATTTCTAATTTTCTCTTATTTTTTAGATAATTTTGTATAATTAATACACATCTATTTGGTATATATAATTTTAAGAAACAGACAGTCTATTTTATTCTTTATGAATAAATTGTTAAATATCCAACAAGAAATGATCGTCAATTAAAACGTCGAATCGACGTCAAATTGATGTTGAAATCATCGTATTTATCGATTCGACATCAATTTAATGATTCTCGCAGAATAATATTTACTTTTAAAAAACAAAAATTTTATAAAAAAATATTTTTTTTTTACGAATGCTTTTTGCATTCATTGTATATATGTATGAATGTTATTATTAATAAATATGTTATACAATTTTAATATATATAAATATTAAATAAACTTATAATATACACAGGATGTCCGTCCATAGATATACGAGCAAATATCTCGCAACTGGTTGAAGTTTAATAAGAGAAATTTGTATGACTCCGAATCAGCTACAAAGTGCACGTAAAAATTTTTTTTTACTCTTTTTTGGAATGATCTCGGTGGTCATTGTGTAGA